GAGTTAAATTCACACCTCCAGCTTCATCCAACCAGGTCTCCGTGATGCACGCCAGATCTGCCCGCTCATCCAAGATTAGGTCCTGGATAAAGGTCGTTTTTCCGTTGACAGATCTGGTGTTCAACAGCACCACCTTCAATCCGGAGGGACCGCCAACCTGGTTACACCAATTTACCATAGGAGACCGGTTTGGAATTATTAATGTAGATATGCGATCCGAATTAGGCCGAATTTGTAGTCTCCTTTTCCCGCATCTCCCCTTCCCCACCACGACTTCTATGGGGGCCCCTCGGCTAGTGGAACACCTCCCCTCCTCCATGCCGCAGTCCAAATCCCTGGTCTCAATTTCTGTTCCATTAATGGTTGTTTGGTTTGTTGGAGTTTTTTCTTGCCAACTTCCTCCATTCCCTTTCTCCCCCCTCCCCACCTTATTGTTACCCACAGCCTCCAGCCCGCTTCGTCCCTTGCCCCTTCCACAAGTCACTAATACCAAGGACAATACAAATAGGGGGATAGGGTACCGCAGGGGTAATGATGGAACAATTCAATAGGACTGACAATAGCAAAGTGCAGTAAGCGTCGCAACTGCGAACAGTTGGGACAGTTCATAAGGTGCAAGAGTCTTAAAGTGCATCTGTTTCTGCATCAATTATCATCATTTCATTAACCTCTCCCTATGCCTAACCTTTCAACACTGCTCCCTCCACTTAAACCATCACTGACAGCTTCCCCTTCCTCTTTGTGCAAAATATCATCTTTGCAGGAGATGCTAGATCTATATATTTGCTACAGCCCACTTTCTACAAAACAATCCAATAAAAGAAAACAGGAACCTCCATTGGCCCTCCACTTCCCCATCATTGTGCCAGTTCTTCAGGAAGGGAAGGAAATTGTGGCTGGTGCAGAAGATGAGGGGAAGAGGGGGGGAAAGACAAAGAATATATCAAACATAAAACTAGTAGCAAAAGGAGGAAGGAAAGCAGAAACACACAAACCCACAGCCAGATTAGCCCCATGGGGGAAGGGGGGGGGCAGGTTTTTTTGATAGGAGATACTTCTCATTCTAATTAATCAAAGTCTGTAAAAGAAGTCATGGGTAATGTGGCTCTCCAGACAATGTTGAGCTGGGCTCTCATGAAAACCTCACCACTGGTTAGAATAGACAGGAGTTGAGTTCAATAATATCCAGATAATCCATGTGTTCTCATCCTGCTATATAAAAGGGACTAGGAATCTATCCATTGCACACCATATAACCAGTGATGGTAGCTCAAACAATAATAATAATAATAATAATAATAATAATAATAATAATAATAACAACAACAACAACAACAACTTTATTTTTGTATCCCGCCACTATCTCACCAAAGGGACTCGGGGTAACAGTACAACTACAGTACAAATGCAACCTTCATTTTACCAACACTTGCCGATGTGTAATTAGCTGTTATTTTCTAGTATTTTGGAGAATGACAGCTAATTTTAGCAAAGGTAGTTCACAGGTCATATGAGAAAAGGGCACTTTCAAGGTTGTTAACAATTCCAGATTCCACACATATCCTGGTCTATTTCAGATGGAGAATGTACATTCTTCTTAACATTATTGGAGTGCACCTTCATGATGATCCTTTACGATTACGTCTGCCCCCAAGGCTGATGGGAGACACAACCCAACAACATCAGCACCCAGGTCTATTTCCCCCATCCCTTATCCCATCCCAAGCTTTTACCTGGTGGTTTCCTGGTGACGTACCAGGAGCAGATGTGTGATAGCGGCATTATGGGCACTCCGGATGCAGTGCTTGGCCGTCAGGACTTTCCTACCCAGAGTCTGATAGGTGTCAAAAATCAATAGCTTACCATCATATCTGGAAAGAAACATGGAAAATTAGTCTTCTACTGAAGGTGGAGATGGATTCCCAAGGTTTATCCAAACTTCCCAGCAGTGGGCCACGAGAGAGGTTTTATTGCACAGGAGAAAAGTGGCCTCCCTTCAAGTCTTAGAAAGATATCATGATGGTAGGAAAAGCCCCTTTTTTATCTGGAAGAGGCATTTGCTTTTAACATGCTGTGGCAAATGGATATTTTAATGGGGAATGTTGTGCTTTATTTTATTATGCTTTAAACTTGTTTTTTAGCTTCTGCTTTAAAAACAGAACTGAGGTTTAATTGTGTCTTAACTTTGGGTAGGTCATACACTCTCAACCCCAGAAAACCCATGATACTGCCTTAGGGCTGCCATGAGTTGGAAATAACTTAAAAGGCATACAACAACAATACATTAATAGTTTTTTTAGATGAACTATATTTTAAAATGGCTGTAAGCCACCTTGAATTCCATGCTAAGAGAAAGGTAAGATAATAAATACATAGTTAAATAAATAAATATATCACATTTTATTGTTGTTTACATCACCTTCTTACAGATCACACTGTTCCCTTCAAGGGCTGTTCAGTGATGCTCTGCGTGACATAAAGGATGCAGGACAGCAATATTTTGCATAAGGGCCAAAGGCACAGTTTGCATCTATCCCTTTGACAGTCACCATTATTGGTAGCAGAAATAGTCTCCTCCCCCATTTGCCAGCTTACCCTGCTGTGTATATCTGGTTGTCTAGGCAGGAGATGCAGGACACAATGTCTGTGTGCGTTTGTTCAGAATAGCCCTGGGCCATGTGAACCACATGCCCAGATTCTCTCCTTTCATCCAAGGGGAAAGCCACAAGGCGCCCCTTGCTGCCACAAAGCAGGAGATGCCGAGCCAGGCTAATGGCCAAGGTGAAGATGGGGTAGCCTAGCTGGACAGAGAGGTGAGAAAGGTTGAGATCAAGCACATGAAGAGTCTACACAAAAGAAAGATTGTAGGGACTAGGAAAGATAATAAATGCTCCCCTCACATTTGTGATTTTGCATTGATTATTCCTAGATTTGATTAAAATGTTTTTTTCTAGGAATCTGTAGGTCCTCTAGTCTGATTCTATAATCAACTTATTCCAGTCATGCTGGAGACATAGGGTGGATCCAGACAGCCCTTTATCCCAAAAGCATCCGCGTTTTAAAAAACTTTCCTGGGTGGGTTGTCCACACGTGCACTTTCTGGGGTAGGTTGTCCACATGTTATCTCGAGTTCAGCCTGAGAGAACCTGTGGAGCCCTTTTCCCCCTCCCTCCAAGCCCCCAAACCCTTTAGAAAAAATTTAAAAACTTTCCAGCCTGCAGTATTCCCACCGAGCAGTTCTCCCTGCACATAAAAAATGACATGCCAGGAGAGTGGGGAAGGGGAGCGATTTTCCTCCCCCACCCCTCCCGCTGACCTGCCGTGTCATTTGTACATGCCAGGAAAGCTGCTTGGAGGGAATACTGCAGGTTGGTAAGTTTTTAAAACTTTTCTAAAGGGTCTGGGGGCTTGGGATAGGTATTATTTAGCCCAGTAAACCGTGGGAATGGTGTCTGGACTGTGGTCCAGATACTGGAAATAGTGCATTTATCCTGTGCCTTCCAAGAAGGCGTGGATAAATTCGGTACAAACCAGGATTTTCCTGATTTGTAGCAAATTAATGTGGGACTGCCCAGAACATCGTCTGAACAGCCCCCTTTTTATTGCAGAAGTTTCCACAATAAAGGGGCTGTTTGGATGGGCCCTAAGTGATTTCTAGGGAAAACACCTATTTAGGAACATGTAGATCCTCCAATACAATGCTATGATCCATTTCTAGCAGATATAGAGTTGTGCTTGTAGACCTTGAAATTCCTAGAGGGATATTCTGTCAGGTAAGAAAAAAAGCAATTTTTAAATTAGTGGTTTTTCCACTTTCATGGGAATCTTGTGCCTCTAACCTTTGTGAATTTGGAGGGCTGGCTGTATTGGCACAGTACCTTCCATCCATTGCCCAGCAAGAATGCCTGCGGGGGGGGGGGGGGGGGGGGTTAATAATTCTCTGAAGCTGGGAAGCAGAGCACAAAGTGGAGTCCTGTCTTGAAGAATAAGCATCTCACCAACAACCTCGGAGGCCCAAAATTATATTTACAAGGAATATTGGCAGATACAAGTTTTTAATTATGTTGGCCACCCTGTGTCAGTGGCAAAGAGGACTGAGTAGATCTCTGTCTAAGGAGATATCCCAATGCCCTAGGGAAGACCTAAAGTGCCAGAGCTGGGCACAATATCTCTACAGGATGTGATTAATTTTATGCAGATGCATAAAAAAGCATCATGTATCACTGTTACTGCTGTCAGCATGAGGTGGGATTCTTACCAGAATACGGTCAAGCACAGTGCCTCCTGCAGCCCATACAAGCACAGAGCTGTCATTGGAAGCAGAGAAGAGCAGGCGAGCCGGTACCCAGGACAGGAAGTGGGTGACCCAGCCAGAATGCTCTTTGGTGCGCAGAGCCATGCGCCCGCTCTCCATGTCCCACCACTTGATCACTCCATCTGTCAGAGCAAGAAGAGCAACACACTGAATTAAGGGAAGTGCTCATTTTAGGAAATACCCCGTATTCGTTGCTTTTCACATTTTCAGAGAGAAGCCCAAGGAAAACACTGTCAAATTTTGGCTGAGGGTCCTGTGATACTCCCCCAGCATTTCTTGATGAGACAGAGGGTATCCAATGATATGATATGTTGAAGCTATACCTTAATGTGTCCTCCCTGTTCCACAACCAGGGAGAAGGTAGGATGCTGCTGCGAGGCTGGAAATATCATCCTGCCACTGCTCAGCTGTGGATAACTTCAAAGTCTCATTATATTCATTCATTTTAAAAGCAGAATTTTCAGGCTCTGCTCAAATATGCTTTCAGAGGAAGTACTTGGACCTGGAACTATGTACTGAAAATATGGACATGAATACTGGTATACATCATATTAGGAAATGCTGGGCTCCAGATGTTGTTGACGGGTACCCTCAATAAGCCCTAACCAAAACAGCCACTGCTAAGATGTGATGAGAGTTGCAGTCCACATGTTCCCCATCCCAGGTGTATGTGGGGAATTGGTATTTTGGACTGTGCTTTGTTCTGAGGACAGAAATGGTGGATTACACTATGAAGATGAAGTTATTCAAGATCTACACAGCTGTATGAAACAGAGGTGGAAGTAGAATAGAATATGACGGCTATAATGCTTAGGATAAAGACAGAAAAATGTGCCTCTCCAGCTAAGACTCACCTGCAAAACCAGTGAGGCACTCCCGTCGAGCCGTATGATAGCCCAGAGCTGTGATGGGACTGCGGTGGCATTCCTTTATACGCAGATGCTCTTGCATCGCCATCCTTGTGGTCTGAAGAGAATGGAGAGGGGGAAAGAGGACAAAGTGACTCTTCTGGAAAGTCTCCAGGTTTGTCTTTCTCAGAACCATTATAACTAACAATCACATTGTCTTCACACGTGGAGCTTTTCGGAACATAATGTGCACAGGCTGCAAATAATCATGTTATATTTAGACACCTGCAGTCTGGATGCTGGCATGGTAATCACCCAGCAGTCATGTTTCATACTGCTCCTCCGCAAATTGTATTGTGTGGGATTTATTCCAGTGTTGCTCAAAGTCATGGTCACAAAACCAGTGCCAATGTGCGAGCCCTTGGCTTTTGGTCTAGAGACAGATTCCAGGAAAGAAATATTGGTAACCAATGAACGCAAACATGGTATCAGTCTCTTGGCTATTAGGAAAAATGCTGGTCCCCCAAATCAGCCTGCATGAGAAGCCCTGATCTCTTCAACCTGCTAAACATTTCTGGAATCCATTGCCTGATAAACTCATTATACTCAAGTTCACAACATCAGTGCTTCTCAAGATATTTGTTATGAGGGAAAGCAGGGTTTTTTCCCTATGTCCCATGGACCATTATGTTCGTATCAATTTGCTACAACCCTGCCTGCCTACCTTCCTTTCTAGGGTACTCACCATAGGCTAGGCTAGCAGCTAACATTTTGCAAACTGGCACTGATCCAGACTGGAGGAACTTAGATGAAAAGCTCAGAAATCCCTTCTTTCTTAAGAGGAAGCAGGGTAAATGTGGGGTGTGGCAAAGTGGGTTTCCTCAACCACAGACCTGGACTACATTGTAAAGCAAAGGACACCAAATGGATCCTATGGGTCAGTCCATAATAAAAGTGAAAATACATATGAATGTGTGTGGTGGGGTGCCCACTTCCACAAACAGCTTTAACCACAGTGCTGAGGAGCCACCCAAAGCCCTCCCTCCAATGACATTTCAGGTTATAGTGAGCACTATGAACATGTAGCCCAACCACTGCCAATGTTTTCCCCCAAACACAATACCACCCACCACCCAAGGAATGCTTTCATTCAGGGACAATTTCATCCTAGATTTTAGGTGTTTCCATCACCACAGACATCCCAGTGTTTCTTACTCTCTCAATTGGTGTGGAATTTGCATGATCCCACCCACTGCCTCTCCCTAATAATAATAGTAATAATAATAATAATAATAATAATAATAATAATAATAATAATAAACTTTATTTAAACCCCACCACCATCTCCCCAAGGGATTCGGAGCAGCTTACATGAGGCCAAGCCCAACAATACACCAATAAAACAAAAACAATAAGCAAAAAACAATACAATTAATATAACTCACATATAAACATGCTTTTCAATTCTGTCTGCACAACAAACAGAGCAGAACTAATCAGCAACTAAACATACTGGAGGAGTTCAGGGGATTGACTCCACATGATGGAAGTTGTAGTTCACCCTGCATCAAGTCAGAGTACTGTGATCCTCACTGACAATGGATCTGGACCACATTTGGCACACAGAACCCCCATGACCAAAGAAAAATACTGTAGAGGTTTGGGGGGAATTCATCAAGATTACAGTTGTTGTAAGTACTGGGATTTATAGTTCACCTGCAAAGAAAGAGCACTCTGCACCCCACCGATGATGGACCTGGACCTAATTTGGCACACAGAACCCCCATGGCCACCTGAACGTACTGGAGGGATTTGATGGGACTGATCCACCATGGTGGGAGTTGTAATTTATCCTGCAGCTGGAGAGCATACTGAACTCCATCAATGATGCATTCAAAGCAGGTATGGGCAAACCCTGATGTGATCCCCTAGGGCTCTTTTCTCAGGCACTCCTCTCTCTCACCATCCTATGCTTTCTTCCTTCTCTCTTTCCTTCCTCCTTTCCTCCCTCCCCTGCTTCTTTCTCCTTCCATCCATCCACCCTTTTGTCCTTCTTTCCTTCTCTCTTTCCTTTCTTCCTCCTTCCCTTCCACCCTTCCTTCCCTTTTTGTCTTTCTTTCCTTCTCTCTTTCCTTCCTCCTCTCCCTCTTTCTCCTTCCATCTTTCCCTTCCACCCTTTTGTCTTTCTTCCTTCCTTCACTCTTTCCTCCCCCCTCTCTCCTTCCCTTCCTTTCTTCCGTTCCTTCCACCCTTTCATCCTTCCCTCCCTTTTGTCTTTCCCTTCTTCTCTCTTTCCTTTATTCTTCTCTTCTTTTCTTCCAGCTTTCTCTTCCTCCCTTTCTTCTTTCCTTCTCTTTTTCCTTTCTTCCTCCTTCCCTTCCTTCCATTCTTCCCTTCCACCCTTTTTTCTCTTTTGTCTTTCCTTCCCTCCCTCTTCTCTCCCTTCTTCCATCTCACCCTCTTTCTCCTTCCATCCTTCCTTCCATCACTGGTCAGCCAGTCCTCCTACCAGGGAGTGCTAGCATGCAGCCAATTAATTAGAAAGTTTGACCGTGCCTGATCTAGAGCAAACTTGCCAACATGACAAATTTTAAGTATTGATGGGATTTCAATTGACCTGGCATGATGTGAGTTGTAATACACCCACAACCTTATGCATTTTGTAAAATTAAAAAAATGACTGGGTTGCTGTAAGTTTTTCGGTCTGTATGGCCATGTCCCAGAAGCATTCTCAACTGACGTTTCGCCTGCATCTAAGGCAGGCATCCTCAGAGGATGCTTGCCATAGATGCAGGCGAAACGTCAGGAGAGAATGCTTCTGGGACATGGCCATACAGACCGAAAAACTTACAGCAACCAAGTGATTCCGGCCATGAAAGTCTTCGACAACACACACACACACACACACATGCACAAAATTGTCTTCTTCTAATAATCGAGGAACGCCGGGTCCCTACGCTAGTTTTTTTTCCGTGTCAGGAGCGACTTGAGAAACTGCAAGTCGCTTCTGGTGCGAGAATTGGCCGTCTGCAAGGACGTTGCCCAGGGGACGCCCGGATGTTTTGAGGTTGTACCATCCTTGTGGGAGGCTTCTCTCATGTCCCTGCATGGGAAGATGAAACTGACAGAGGGAGCTCAGCCCTGCTCTCCCCGGATTCGAACCTGCAACCTATCGGTCTTTAGTCCTGCCGGCACAAGGGTTTAACCCACTGCACCACCGGGAGCTCGTCCCAAGCTAGGTAAAAATAAAATAAAATATTAGAAGATAACTCTTGTCTTGTCTGGCAAAGTTACAACATCTGACAGAGCCTCTTCCTTGGCCAAATGGAAACAGAAGCGTGCGTCCTCCTCAAAGTGTGGACGACCTTTTGGAGCCAAACCTACGCGCGCACCCGCTTTGCAGCCTCAAGGAAGGCAACCTCGCCCGGCGCCTCTGAAAGGCACCCGGCCCCCCTTTTCGCGGCCCGCTTTCCCGCCCTGCCTTTGCAGCCGCCGCCGTTCCTCGAAGCCTGCTTCCCATGCGCTTCCCGGCCCCGCCGCCCACGCCCGCCGCCCTCCCCGCCTTTCCTCAAACTTGCCCAGAAGTTCAGAAGAAGTTGCTGCGGAGGCTCCGGCTGCGCCGCCGGGGAGGCCAAGCCGGGCTCCTCGTTTACTTCCTGCGCCTCCTGTCGCCATGGAAATGGAAAGGAGGAAAGAAAGAGGGAGGGAGGGAGGGAGGGAGGGAGGGAGGGAAGAGGGCTCTCCTCCCAAAGCCCAGCCCCCAGGAGTCGTGAGAACGGAGAACTCCGAGTGCTGGTGCGGCCGCCTGCCCAGGGTCTCAAGGGGGTTTCTTCAGAGGCAGCCTTGCCAGTCCCTTCCTCTAAAGTGTAGCCTTCTGCCAGTAGCTGTCTCCTATCCAAGTGCTCAACAGGGCTGAGCCTGCTTAATTTTAAGTGGATTTTTCCCTCTAGTGTGGGGTTTGTAGTTTACTGAGGTTGTGAAAGGCTCTCCTCCCTAAACTACAAACCCCAGAACTCTGCAGGAGGCAGAAACCGGATTTTAAGTGGATTTTTTTCTCTAGTGTGATGAGGCCTCCTTCAGGAGGCCAGGGCTCTGCCTTAGTCAGGCAGAGATGAACCAAACACACTCCCAGTTTGTGTTAAGCAATTTAATTAAAGCAGCACATACTCTCTGGCTGTTTTAATAGTCCAAAACATAAAGATAGCACTCAGCCAGAGAATATAAAACAAAACTGACAGCAAACGCTGTTGCAAATTCAAGATAACACCTCACTTGGCAAAGTAGTCAAAAGGACCAGTCCAGTGGTCAAACGCTGAGAGTTCAATGAGCAAAGTCCAGGGATCAAGAGTCTATACCGTAGTCAAAAGCCAGTCCAAAGATTCAAGGTTCCAAGGGTTCAGGAGACAGGTCAGGATACCAAAAATTCACAAACCTGGGGGAAAACCAGCAGCGTCTACCACCAAGATAAAACAAATACTTTTCTCCCGAAGATCAGTCTCAAGGTTAGCTCATTATATCCAGAAACACCCAACTACAGTCTATCTCTTGCATACCTCCACTCCTAATTGGTTTCAACCATGAACTCTTACTTACAGATTACTCAACTCCTTAGAACTAAGACTTACATTAAACCTTCCATCACCAACTGCTAGGCCTACCACCACCGACCACCAACAACTGCAGAACATGATACAGGACAGCCTTGAGAAAAAATCCATTTAAAATCTGGTTTCTGCTTCCTGCAGAATTCTGGGGTTTGTAGTTTAAGGAAGAGCCTTTAACAGCCTCACTAAACTACAAACCCCAGAGTTCTGCAGGAGGCAGAAACTAGATTTTAAGTGGATTTTTCTCTCTAGTGTGATGGTAAAGGTAAAGGTTTTTCCCTGACATTAAATCCAGTCATGTCCAAATCTGGGGGGTGATGCTCACCTCCAATTCTAAGACAAAGAGGTGGCGTTGTCCGTAGACTTCCAAGGTCATGTGACTGGCATGATTGCATGGAGTATTATTACTTTCCTGCCGGAGCGGTATCTATTGATCTACTCACATTTGCATGTTTTTGAACTGCTAGGTTGGCAGAAGCTGGGGCTGACAGTGGAAGCTCACGCCACTCCCTGGATTTGAACCCGTGACCTTTCGATCTACAAGTTTAACAGCTCAGTGGTTTAACTCACTGCACCCCTAGTGTGATGAGACCTCGAGAAAAAATCCACTTAAAACCCAGTTTCTGTTTCCTGCAGAATTCTGGGGTTTGTGGTTTAGGGA